TAGTGTACTGTGTTATTTTGTACTTGTGCATGATGTTGTGTAGTGATCTGTGTTTCAAATGATCAACATAAAAGTTCGTTATTACACTCTCATTCACATTTCCCCTATATGTATGTATTTGTGTTTCTTGTCTGATGAAATATTGTTTATACTTTGATGTTGTCTTGTTCTGGTTTATATGTATTTATATTGTAAAATACTTTTTATGTAAATTTGTATGTTTCATTCTGATAAATGTGTGTGTGTATATGTATGTACTTATGTTTAAGGGGGCGTAAACTTGTGTGACTCGTTGTTGAATGTGTGTAAAAGGGGAGCATGCGTACGTGACTCGTTGAAAATAGAAATGAACGAATAAGTTTTTCTGAATTGTGAAAATTTATATTAGAATTAGAATAAAAAGATTTGTTGAACGCAGCGGACGTGTTTTGTTAAATTACGGCATCCTACAGTAATAAATTGAATAAACCCATCAAGATGCAATTTTTCCATCGTCTTATTTTCATATTTAGTTTTGTTCTCTTTTAACTTTTAACGCAAGAAAAATTCATTACTTTTGTATGTTTTGGCCAATACAGTTTTTCATTACCTTTCATTTCGCGGCACTGCGAGTATGGTCTTGTGCTGGCTAATGCTAATATCCGTGGTAGCAAAATGTTGAGAACACAGGCCATTTTTGCCTTTCAAAATGAAGCGCTGGAAATTAAAAAAGTTTATACCGTCCTTCTTGCAATGGTATCTGGTATTTTTGCAGCTTCTGCGCAACCCATTTTTCTTTTTATAATTTTTTTTAAATCATTTTCTTTTTTCCTTTGTCGATCAAATCAGAATCAGTCGATTAATTCAGAAAAAAATTTTATTATAATTTTTAATCTGGTAGCTTGATTTTGACGATAATTTCATAATCTTAGTAAAAGTCAAATGGCTAAGATGGCTGCTAATGTCATTAAGTGACAGTACCTTCTTTTTTTCTACCATGGCCTTAGCAAGCTAATAGGTTTCGCTCCCTCCATCGCCAATATCAATCGTGTGTAGTAAATTTAGTTTTTTTAGTTATTTCTCACGTTAAATATATTATCAAATCTGCTCATGATACAAAAAAGAAGGTAGTTCCATTTAATGACTTTCGTTGTTGTTGTTAACCATTTGACTTTTAATAAAATTACAACGTTTCATTAAATTCATGCTACCTGATCACGAGCAGTAAGTATTTTTTTTTTGTTAAGAAAAAAAAATTTCATAAGTCCACTCAAAAGTGTGGAATATGATGAACCTGAAAATTAATGCATAATTTCAAAAATGGGGTTGACGAAACTAGGTTTCAGAACGCATGAAGAAAGTGATCAAAATTTTACTTATGGTAATTGCTTAGCGGAGGACGGTCTGCACAGGCCGATATCCAAGTTTTTTGGCATACATTGGAAATTTTAAATTCGAAATTTGTTGAAATAAATGACTACACACGACTAATTTTTTGCAAAATCTGAAGAGAAATTTAAAAGTAAATTTGGATCAAAATATTCAGCCCTCTCACGAATTTCATGTGAACAAATATTCCAAAAAATTATAAAGCAAAACAAAAACAATTTTTCCCAATTTGTTTTTGTTGCGCATGTTAAATTATGGGAACAATTTATTCACATGGAATTGGCGATTATAAAAAGGTTTTATTTGGAAAGAACATTCTTTCGTATTACATTTTTATATCGCAAGATTGTATTCAAAATAAGAAAATTAAAAAAAAAAACAATATAATGCTCTCGTGATATTCATTAATAAAAAGAACAATTCCGCTGAACTCTCCTTTAACATTACACACTTTATATGTTTTTAATAAAAAAAGGTGCGAACCACATAAGTAAAAGAATTACGAGGTACTGATAATGATTTTTGATTTGAAATAGTATTAAATTGGTATAAACTTCAATTTATTGATTTAATATTATCAAAGTGGCAAGGCCGTTGAGAATACTCACAATTTATGAAACTTCAAAAAATTATATTATTATCTGTCAAAAGTGGTTTATTGAAACTACTTACCTTTTTTTTTGTATCATGATTCTGCTTATAAAAATGTACATGCAAAAAATTACTCTAGGAGTGGCTGGGGAGCGATGCTTAAAGCACCGCGTGATAGCCAAGTTGGGCTAGCGTTGGCCATCGGGTGAGGTAGGTGTCAAGCATAGGAGCGTAGGACCCTTGTGAGGAGCCAAGCTAGGTTAGCGATAACCCTGGTACTAACAATGAATCTGCAGGAAAAGTTTTTGAATACATTAATGCGGAAATATATATTTACTAGAAAAACACAGAAAACAAAAGTTGTGACGATGTTTTATAATTTTGGGAGAGCTAAAGATTTTGCACTTCTTAGAAGCTTTCCAAGGCAAATTTTACACATACCAGCTAGTTCAGCAACCATTGAAACTGTTTTTTCTGTGTTAGGCTGAATTCTAGAAGAAAGACGTAAACGACTGCTTCGTGATAACCTCGACAAAATTTTATTTCTAAACAAAAATATGAGCTAGTCATTTTAAAATTACATTGTGGTTGTTCACGCTTGCCTGGTTATTAGGTTAATGGTTGAAAATAATTTTTCGGTAGTGCATTTCGTTGTTGTACAACAATGAAATACACCAAAGAAAAATTATTTTTAACCAGATAACCTGACAACCAGGCAAGCGTGAACAACCACACTGAATGAATACAGATGTGAATTCTTTTCTATATTCGTAACACGTATTATTATTATTACGCAAATGGCGCGACCTTTATTTTCTGGATCGTGGGTGTAAATGCGGTATACATAAAAGCAGTTTTGTTAGTAAAAGATTTTTCCATGTGTGCATTTCAGAACAAAGTCATCCCGAATTTTTCGGCGTTTAAAATTACTGAAATAAATTACTACTCTCTTTCACTTGTCGACCGTGAAAAACCGGTTGCAGACGGTCTGAAAAGACTCGATAAGAGCAAGTCGATTGATTTACATAAATCATATACATAGTAGATCTCTCACTAGCTGAATCAACATTTTGGCGACATACGAAGGGACCAAACGAATGTGAGATTCACCTTGTCTAAAACTTTCTTTGGCTTCGAAAAGTTCTTCCGGTTTGATCAGAGCTTAATCAGGCATGGAATATTCTCGTTGTATTTTCGTACTGTTAAACAGATTTGAAGTGATGTGCAATGTCTAACAAAATGTACATACTAACATTTTTTCCTCAAATTAGGTACAATTTGACCAATTTTTCTCAAAATAGGTACAATTAAATTTAATTCCCCATCGCTGTGCCTAACGGTAAATTATGTTTCCATGTCTACGAATACATACTTTCTTCTGTTCACTCACTCTTCACTCCCATAAGCACAAGCGCGCAATCAAGAATGTCTGTCTCATTAAATCAAAATTTACCAGCTCGTGGCAATGCAGAGCACAGTGGGAAACTTTAAACTGATTTGGTAAATTTTTTTCCGAATTGAACTCTTTTTTAACACATGGAAATTATTTTAAGAAAGGTTTTATAGCCTCGAATAAGAAAAATTATATTTATCGGCATAGAGTGAAAGTCGAAAAATATTTCTTCTGTTAAAAAAAATCCGAAAAATTTCACCAAAACAGAAATAAAAATAAAAATAAAATAAAATAAAAATATGACTTACAGCTTGATGTTTTCTTTTTTTTTTAACTTTTCGAATTTCACTATGCTGATAAAAATGTATATATTTTTTTTAATTCGGGCCTGGCATTTGTTTTTTAATCCATTCCAATATTTAAAAAAAAGTAATAGATTCGGTAAAAAATTTACTTTTCATTTTTACTAGCCATTTTTGAACAAAATAAGCAGTAAATTTCCCACTGTGTAGCGGCTTCAAAATTTACGTGCATATGAAATTCTATATCTACGAGTAGTATATTATTCAAACTGTATTAGACAAAATGTTTACATTCATCTTGAATAGTGGTCGCAATTTCAGGATATCTGCAAACACAAACTGAAAGGAAATATTTTAGCTTAGCATATTCAAATTAGCCTAAATACACGCACACGCAAACTCACTTTTCAGCGGTTATCAAATTACTCGCTTGTTTAAAAGTAAAGGAAGATGATGAATAAACTTTCTACACTTTAGGTCACACTAGGTCATCTACTTTTTAGATGCGTTCCGGTGAAAGCTTTTAGCAAGTACTTGGCCTTCTTCAGTTTAGCTCTTTCGCCTTCAATTCAGTTGCTCCGATTACCCGCACTGCCTTAGTTACGCACTAATTAATCATACGACACAGTGCTTTTCAGAATTTCAAATACATACATATATGTATATGCAAATAGCCAAGTAAATGCAGCTGGCGTTATTTAAAAAAAAAATCAGAAATGTCTATCAGATTTCGCATTCCAACTTTAAGTTGACTTAGGCCGCAGGTAAAGTATTTTGCCTGCTGAATTTTTTATTTGATTAAGAATTTATGTATGCAAGTCTCCATGCTCGAGTTTTTTACAGACAGCAGACATGTTAATTAAGGCTTACAGAAGGTTCAAAGCGAAACAAATAAAAAAGGATTCGAAAGGGTACTTTCAACTAAGTTTGAGAAAAAACTTGTTTGCCATTTTCTTAAATACATATCTATGTACATACATAAATAAATACATGTATTAAATGAGATCATACATTTTTTCTTAGAGGTACTTAGATTTTCAATCTTTGTGAGGGATTTGTTATCCTTTTTCCAACATCTGCTGAGCTTACATATTTCAGTGTGATTTTATTTTTTGTTCGGCCGTTGTCGGGGTTAGAACGTTTATTTTCTTAGTTTTTTCATTTAATTAAGTGACTCGCCTTGGAATGCCTACCTACTTATATGTATTTGTGTATAAATAAAGTAGAAAAATGTATGGCAAAATTTTTTCTATTAAAGGTATTCGCTCAACATGGCATGTCAACACAACGAATAACAGTAAAGCAAAAAATTTAAAGCAAACATTAATGTCCGATTATCACTACTTGCCGATTAAACATCATTATCGACGTTTTCGACATCATGCATATAACATGTGATCGATAAATCAGTCCTTGTATTTAACCGGAGCTTCTACCTCTGATTTGTGCAAATCAGACATTGAACAACCGGCCCTAAGAGTATGGATTGAATTTATAAGTAGAAGTATTTTTAAAATGAAGACTTATTTTCGAAATATATCATCAAAAACTTACTGCTGAGGCTATGGGTAAACTGCCCAGAACATGCAACTGTGGTTGTGGTATACTAGTATGTATTATTGTGACTGTTGTAAAGGTTGAGTTGGCTTGAACTTCTATGGTAATACACTGTTTGAAATTCTAAATGCATTGAAGTAATAAAAAAGGCTGAGTCGTGGAAATACAATAGGGACGAATTTTCTTGGCAACATTTTTAGACATTTGGGAACTCCGCCACTCACACAGAAAATGTGTTTTTTAATTTTTATTTTTTTGAAGATTTAATCTTAATTTTTCATAGATTTTGGCGGCTACCCGTTTGTGTAATCAGTAGTTTATGTTATTATAAGTTATTTACATGGCATCTCTTGACTATTCCTCTCTTAATTTTCTCATATTTACATTTCTGAGCTCTTTATGGATCGTATCTATGTATATCTATAATACGCCAACGGATTTCTTTGTCCAGGTCATCAGATCCGCACCTTTTGCTCGATTTTCAGAAATGAGGTGTCCTGGAATATAGATGTGCAATAAGGTCTTAATTTTTTCAGAAAGAGTTGCCACCTTTAAAAAAAATTGTTCAAATTAATTAAAAGAATTAATTAATTATTACAATATAGATATAAATCGAAACGGTTTTAAAGTTTTTTTCCTTAACTTAACTATAGGAGGGTCGCCACCTAAAAATGTAATTCAATTTGAATTAAGGAAATTAGGTGATACAAATATATATCACCATACGAACGCCAGATAAAAGGGGTTTAAGAATGTGATAGTTTGCAAATATTTGATGAGTATTGCCACCTGCTTGAAGAGGGTTTCCACGTGTTTATAAAGTTGCATTTAAATTATTTAATAAGTTGGATGAATATTAAAAGATGGGTATCAATCGAAAAGGCTTTATTTCTTACATTTACTTAGGAGTGCTGCCACATGTCTGAAAAACCAAGTTCAACCTAATTAATCAGTTAATTGAAATATGAATCATAGAAAAAAAAAACTTAAGTCAAAAGATATGTAAGACGCTTTTAATTCCTAAATACTTTTCAAAATGATTTCCACTAGTTCGAAAAATCTGATTTATGTAGTTAACCAGTACACAAGTTTTATGAAATTTTAAAATACGAGTGCTAATTGAAAGAGATTTGTGAAAGGTTTAGTTTGAAAATAGCTTTGATTATGCTTGCCACCTTTTGGAAAAGTCATATCGATCTAACTAAGTATATATATTATGCGAGAAGGTCATTAAATATGCACCGTTCTTTCAAATTTAATAAATGAGAAGTCAAATCAAAGACATTGGCCTGTAGATGTGAGATAAAGTTTTATTTTTGTTGAATTAAGAAATGGCTGGTCGGATTTAGATGAAATATGGCACTCGGATCGCTTATAACTCTGACAAGCATTTGGAGTATTTTAAGGCTTTTGAAATTAAATTTGGGTGTTTTAATGGCATGCGGGTTCACTAGTTTAAATATATTGCAAAGTGTAATTTAGGCCAGATTGGGGTTGTGGCCACCCCTTCCATGGTTGGAGCGTCCACTGTCTCACATCCGTATATGCCCTTGTGGCCAGGAAGTCATACTAAATGGATGCTACTATAGGCTTAAAAGGAGTTAACTTATTTACATATGCACGCGAAGACTAGCAGTAGTATTTCTTCGAAATATAAAAGTGCCTAGCTATCACTGAGAATGACAATTGTCTTATTGTGGTAGTTCCTCCTATCCATCTCGCAGACTAATTGCGTGAACTACTGCCTGAAATATATTCGGGTACCTTCCCACTGGCGCATATATCCTAGCTCCGGTGCTATAGACGCCTGCTCCTAATCCCTTTGGAGTTTTCGAGCCGTCTCTATACCAGTTCAGGGTAATAATCCGAAGACAGTACAAAGTACAGAAAACTTTACCTCCCTTCCAATACTATTGTTCGCGGAATAGACGCTCTGTGAAGTGGGGCTACCGGAATCTGGGATCCTGATTTCTGATTTTTTAAATGATACGAGCTTTCCTCTGCCAAACCTTCTCTAGTGGAATTAAGTCGAGCTTATTTTGCCGCCTGCTCTACGATTAAGTGTAAAAGCTTTCCTTATTCTAAGACTTGCCAGACGATAAGCTTTCATGAGGGCCAAGCTGCCACTCCCACAGTGTCGAAAATTACGTTTTTAAGTCTCAAAATCAAATATCTCGACCATGAGAACAGATGCAATGTAAATGTAACAGTATTTTAGCGCATAACAGTTTTTCAATGCCATTTGAAGGTCGCTCAGAATAAAGAATTTCTTTGACTTCAAAAACGAAATACATAAGTAAAATTTTTGATTTTTATTTATGCTTTTTTGACATGAAAACAGCACGCAGTGAAGGTAAAATAAAACTAAAATATATATTTAGTTTCTTGTGACCCTGTAAATAGATTCATTGATGCAAAAATAGCTTTTTAAAAAGCAAAATAATTCAATATTTCCCCATCAGTACTCTTCAAAATATAATACATTCATCTAATGATTATCTGGCTACCTACCCAGGTTTCACTTGCAAAAAGCATCCATTTGCGACTCTGAGTATGGTTGTGGCTACTGGTAACACTGACTGCAGCTAAGCCTAAGGCTGTGTTACTCATGGCCGGAGTTGCCTTCTTCCAGGTGATAGGTATGGTAAGCATTTTGGTTGGACTGTTTTCAAAACATAAAGCTGATATGCGCAGTTTCTTTAAGACTTTTGGTATTTAGATTTTGAGCACTTTTCGGTATCCAGTTTGCTTGATTTGATGATTACTCCAACATTCTCAAAGCTTATCTATACATACTTAAGTTATTTTTGATCTGGAGACTGCATTGCAAAGGTCAAGTTTTCCTAAGAGTCACTCTTTTAATTACTTAACTTTTCGAACTGATGAACGCACGAGCTTCTTATTATCGATACTTTTGAAAAGGCGAATTAGAATGCACTTCGCTGCCAGTGAATGAATGTACCGAAAGTAGAGTAAACTGTAATAAAGTTTTTAACGTTTTTTTACAACTGCGAAAGCTATATCGAAAACTTTTAGCTAATAAGGAAATATGTAATTGAAAGAGTGCAATAAACTACCGCAGAAAAGTCGATATTTAGTACGTATTTATGTATAGAAAACGTTTTTTATGGCACGACATTAATTACCGATGTTAATGTGCAGTTTGAAATTTTCCATCAAGAGAACAGATATTTTTTCTTACTCGTATTTGTATCGCATTATAGAAAGCAAAACGTTAAGGGAAGTAAAAAATTACGGCATCACCTATTTGACTTTTGGTTGCTTTATGTTTTTACTAAAGATACAAAAGGTCGTGATTTTTGTGAGATGAGTTCGACTTGGCACATTGTCTAATTTTATACTGAAACCGAGATTTTTTTCCACAAAATTTTATTACATGGTATACAGAAAAGAAGGTAGTTCAATTTTCATCTTGTCGTCGCAATATTAACAACCTGACAGTTAAACAGATTGTGACATTTCATGCTATCATACCCAATAAAAAAAACAGGAGTTGCAAATGATGTCATGTGTATGTGCCTACATATATACTGATAAGCAGTAACGATATGTGGTGACTAAATTGATGTAACCATTGCCGTTTTCGCCATTTAAAACGCATTGCGTGTGATATGAAAATAATGGAAAGGAAGAAACAGGAAGATTGAAAGCTTGGGCCTAATAAAAAAATTGATGGATAGAAAAATGAAAAAAGATTTATGAAATGAGTCTTACATATTAAGAAGCTATAAAAAGGAAATACATTAGACATAAACCCAAAAACCCGCAGGGCGTGTACGTTGAGACATTCAAATAAAAGAACAACATGCAGGTTGAAGTCGTCATCTTCATGACTCATCGTCGGCGGAGAAAAGCATCATAAATTTATGTATATGCACACAAACATTTAACTACAAAGTAACTACATTAGATAATTTTTGTATGCACCGTAGATGTAACTGTGCATAGCAAAATTAAGAAAACTAGGAGTGCCAGTTAATGTCGAAATTCTACCGTTTTTCTATTTTTTAAGACTCCTGGTGAGATTTTCTAACTTAGAACGTCGTTTAACTTATGAGGTATAAATTTACTTACCGGTAAATTTCCTGCTTTGAACTTAAAACGTGACAAATTTTTTTTATATTTTTGATTAACATTTCAGTTTGTCGAAAAACTTCAATAATTTGATACATATCGATATTTCAATGTATTTCAAAAACGCTAAAATCCAATAACTCAACAAAATTCAGCTCGATAAGTTTCGATAACTCAAAAATGTATATATCACGATAACTCGATAAACTTTGGATACCTTTATAAATTTCGATAACTCGGTTAATTTTAAATGTTCCATATTTTTCGAAAGCTATCGCCAAATTTCGATAACTCCCTACAATCTGGTAACACCCATAAAAATCGATAAGCACTGATAACTCGATCAACTTACATATATAACCTCGATAGCCCGACGTAGACATTTTGAGAATTCCTAAAACTCGATAAATCGACGAATTTCTGCAAATCAATAAATGAGAACTCTATAAATAATGCTTATTCAAAAAATATCCATTATTTGATCAATGTCATTAATTCGACAAATTTCGAGAATCACATAAATTTTTTAGTTCGATAAATATCTGTATATTTGTATAACTAATTTTCTGTCTATAAATTTCAACAATTCAATAAAAGTTTAACGTTGCAATATCTCAATAAACATGGATAGCCCGATAAATTTCGAAAACTATACACTTCGGTGATTCGACAAATTTCGATAACTTGAAAACTTTCCATAGCTAAATTTTTTATTACGGAATTTATCTCGATTCTTATCGAAAAATTTGAACTAGTATTTCTAATTGATTTCATTTGCGTCTTTATCTTCAATTTTTCCTTCACTTTTTTGTCCTACTCGTTATTATTTATTTCTTCATCATCACATTTATCTTTATTACGAAGTTTAATTTCAAACACGAAACAAAATAAAATGAGAAAAACACTCAAATTGAACAGATTGCAACAACAAATATACACAAAAAAGACGATTTTGGCCGTAATTTTCAATTAACTTTGAAACCATAAAACTCTCCTCTTGTACAGAAAAATGCATTTCCAATTATGAATTTGGCTTCAGTGCAACCGCTAAGCAAGCAGTGACAAAATGTATGTTAGCGTATTAATATATAGATGGTGCTTAATGCCTTTTAAACGTAACGAAAAAAAAATTGCACTAAGGATGACACAACGCCGCAACCTTTTGTCTCCAAACAAAAGATCGTAACTAATACAAAATTCAAAATTCAGGTTTTGATTGATATGATGGATTTCATCGAATAACAACTCCCACATCTTTAAATGAAAAAAAATATTAAAAACAATTAGTCATGACTTTTTACATTTCAGTTACGTCTTTTCGCATTTCAGGTGACGATATGTTTACATTTTTCTTTTCACAAATATTGGTAATGAAAGTTAAATAAAGTTTCACTGAGCCCGCTACCAGTTTATCAAAATACCTCCAGCACAAGCTTCGTTCGTTTATTATTCTAAAATATTAACAGGAATTAGAATTTCTGGCGTAAACATGTAGCACTACACTATATGCTTATAAACCAAATAAAGTATTTTTTACTTATATACGAAAACATATATGAACATTTATTAAATGTAATACGGGAATTTATTAAAGAAACATACTTGGGCATGATTCCACGAAAGTACTTATTAATCGCTATTAAACGCTGGCACAAAATTTTAAAGCGCGCACAAAATGAAATGGTGAACAATTAGTCAAGAAACATCTTCGATGTTTTGATTTAACATCGGATTCGTAAAAACGTCGACGAACACCGATGTTTGAAGCCTTGACCAACAATGTTGCTCGATACATCGATGGTTTTTTACATCCCTAGCCCAGTGGGAAAAGTAGTAATACATTACATGCGTGATAAACAGGGAACGGATTTTTAGAACCTAAAAACCTATAAAAAAGGAAAAATAAAACAAATAAATAGGCTAGAAAAGGCAATATAAAATAGTGAAGTAGGTAGGAAAAGACACTAGAAATCGCAAAAAAGGCAAAAGAAAGCACTAAAATAAAAAAAAAACCCAAAAAGTAATCAAAAAATACAAGTATTTTATGATGTTTATTTTACAAGTAAAACGAGCAAAACTATGAATTAGTTTAATGATATGGAAAATTTGTACTTTGAAACTTAAACAATTTTCTTCTTTCGAATTTTTAACTCACAAAACTTTAATCTCCATAGTTGTAGTAACATTGAATCACAAGATGAATTTTGAAGTTTTCTGGCAGCATTTTCATTCGATTTTCTAATCTAAAACATTGAACGTTAAAAACTTTCATATTATTAGGAATAAGGGATTTTACTTGCCCTTTACAATTAAAGATAGAAAATACAAAAAGGGCTAATATCTTAAATAAGGCAAAAAGGCAACATCAAAAGTGTATATATGGAATCAAGGAAGGAGAGTACACTCTCTCTCTCTTAAGCAGAAAAAGCGAGATTTCCATAAAATCCGTTCCCGGGTGATAAATAATGTAAAGTATTTCTTATGAGTTCTAGATTCTGTTACTGTTTACTATACAATCAACATTCTAAAGTTGAATTGAATGCCACACTTTTCCTAGGGCATAGCCGTGGGAAAAATAATGCATTTTAGAATGTGAAAACGGCTGTTTTACTGATTACTATTTCGATTACTTTGCATTACATTTTCCCACTGGGAGAATACATAGAAGCAAGAAAATAAAAGCACAACCAAAAACCTTGAACGCCATTTCCGCTCTCTTCACCCCGCTTTGCAATTCTTTGTTTTACTGTAAAGTATCTGAAAGTTGATGCGTGTCTGCTCATCAAATCAACAACAGACTTTACGAATTAAATAAAAGTGAAAATATTGAGGAATATCTCCTGAGAAGCAATGATTTTAAAGTTACTTTTCTGTGGCAAGCTGAATGGCGTGGGTCTTGTAAATTGATTTTATGTAAATTTTCACTTGTCAGTCTGTCAAAGCAAAGAACAGAGCTAAAGGTAAAGCTATAAAATAAGTGATACCAATGGCGGAGTGATAATATTGCTACAAAAAGCACTCGCAAAATATTGAGATAATCAGTGCACTTGTTGATATCTACGTGCGCCATAAAATATAAACCTTATAAGGTTGCAAGCAAGATGTATTCCTTTAAAAGAAACCATAAATCTTTTGCCAGAAATTTGGTACAAAGTAAATAAGTAATCGCTTTACTGACTTTGGCTTTCGATTCGCAAATCAGAGTAGGTTAGAAAGTAGCTTGAATCCTCCATTGTTCAACATTTAATAGCAGCGTTTAATCAGAGCATTTATAAGCTTTGTTGCGGCGTATTTGCCGAAGAGATTTGGCTTTTTATTTTACCTTTTTTTAACTATGGTCTCAGTAGACTTCTAAAATCTATTACTGGATTTTTATAGTAATCATACTCTTTAGGGCGAAATTTTCATAATAAGCTGATTTTCCCGCAAAAATCTCAGATAATAGGTGCGCCTAGAAATATACAATACGAAAGACTATGAAGCCTAATGTTATATGAAGAGGTAATATTCTTTGGAAAAATTCCATAGTTTAGGCCAGTAGCCTCGCGAGGCTATGTGTGCTAAGTCTGCACACATATTTTATTATTTTACAGATTTTCGGAGGTCGATATCCGATTTCGTGAATCCATTCAAGCCAATTAATGGACTGGAACTGATAATATTTTGGTCGCCCACCGTTACATTTTGCTTAATGGATAGAGATTTAGCAGGAGGGAAAATTTGCGCCTTGATGTGGATACACAAAGTGGGGAGACTCACAGTTTTACCTCGACTTCGAACGGCGATTACATTTTTATGAGAAGTTGTTTTTCATGACAGAAATAAACTCATAGGTTTTCCATCGCTTGCCGAGGGGAACCCTCTATTAGTTTTTAGTTTAAAGTTTTTTATAGTGGTTGGAAGCTGGGCTCGAACCCAGGTCCTGCGAAATGGTATTGCGCACTTCTAACCAGTACATCACAACGGCCAACGCTGTTTTTCATGACAGAAACAAACTCATAGGTTTGCCATCGCTTACCGAGGGGAACCCTCTATAAGAAAAAAGTTTTTATATAGTGGTTGGAAACTGAGCTCGAACCCAGGTCCTGCGAAATGGTATTGCGCGCATCTAACCAGTACACCACAACGGCCAACGATTCCAAAGCCACCTTCGATTGCACGTATAGGCAGCCTTCTACACGTCTCGGTGTCTGAATTTGAGTTCCCCGCGAAATTAACAGCTGTGTAAAATGACATGGAAAAAATTAAAATTGCGAGACTCTTAATCAAATAAAAAAAAAATAATAGCCTCAACAACTGCATCATTTCTCTTCCTCTTCCAAGAAACGTGCGCAAGATAAAGCATCTGCTATCAGCCAGCAAACAGTCTGCGCGTATCCGGCGGTGATAACAAAGGAAAGGGAGGGCGATGGAATTACCAGATGAAGACATTTACTATTGGCATCAGTTGGCATGGAAAAGAAATTATTGGTGTGCTTTATTGGAGTCATCAGAAGTAAAAACAAGTCAATAGCGTTACAAGACCAACGGGGGTGGTTTTAACCTTATTTCAAGCATTTTTGATTGTATGCTCAGTTAGACTTAATTAAATAATTTAACTGTGTTGGGTAGAAATCGATAAAGCGCTTACAACGCTCTTACGCGATATAAATATATTTGCATATGTAAATGCTACTTTTTTGCATCGTATGTATCATATATGCATGAGAACGCAACAGAAAAGTAGCATCATATGCAAATACTACTTACAGTAGTTACTGATTTTCGCTGATTTCGTATTTCTCCGAATTACCGTTCTTTCGGATGTGGGCATACGATTTCAAAAATGTTCAACTATTTGCTACATATGAAGCTCTACGGCTTACATCTATGCCAAGTTTGGTAGAAAGTGTAGGAAGAAGTGGCAAACGGATCATTGTAAATATCAATTTTGAGTAAATAAGATGCAAACTACCGCAACATGGGTGGTAGGCGTGATTATTGTCCGATTTCAATACCACTCGTCCTTAGTTCAGAAAAAATACACGTAAGAGGTTACATTAGGATAGCTCAAGTTTTACTCAAGTTATGATGTGCAGAGACGCACAGTGTGGGACTAGATGAAGCTAGGTGGACAAAAGTCAATGTTAAATTTGAAACTAATAACTGTACCTTTTCACGAAAACCGATTGAAAAAGGAGCATCTTGGCGTATAAGTTACCCAGACGATATGAAAATGTTGCTCATTCGCCAAGTACGTTCGATATAAACTTTTCCATGATAAATGGTAGACCGAATATAGATCCGCCATTTTAATTTTTTAAACCCCAATTGTAAAGTTTTAAGCGAATCCAATCGATTTTGAATTTTTTTGTCCGCCATATTGGATTCGCTATTTTGAATTTTTCTAATCCGATTTCAGATATGTAATTAGCGACCCCGATACCTCGCGCATAACGAATTCTAAACAAATGCGGTAAATTTTTAATCAGCAACCCTAAAAACTTGAGAATCTGTCTTGACCTAATAACTGACAACTATTTTAACAAACTGAATGACAAATTTATTTGCATGTTTACGGACAAGCCGTTTTCTAAGGGCCGCAGCATTTACGCAATACTGAATTTTCAATTCTGCGACGTCTTGTTTGATGCATTATAAATTTACGAGTCTATCGACATGCTTACGTTATTTTTATCCCATAGAATTTAAATAAATATAATAAATATAAATAAAATCTTTTCAATATTTCCTGAGGGAGTAGTCAAGTTACTCATTGCACCACGAATTATAAATAGCATAAATTTTAAAAATTAAAACGATGAAGAAGACAAAGAAGATTAATTCGATTCATAAAACGTGAAAGACGACGGGTCCTAATTTTTTGAATAACTGGGAGTGCATCTTTTAATTGAATTTACAATTTTATGTCTTAATAAGTTCTCCATATAATCTTTATTTAAATTTAAAAAATTTCAGTTTTCTAAATTTTTCAAAATTCGTATATACATTTTTAGGTGCATATGTATGTATCTACATATTATTTTATGAATTAAATTTATTACTTTCCAAACTAGGCTTTTGTTTTTTTTTTTTTGAGAGAAAGTTTATTGAAACAAAAAGTTTTTCAATCAAGCAAGGCACATTTAATAGGTAGTAAATAGTGGTAGAGCAGCTGATTTGATTTTATTTTTTTTTCAAATTATTTGGTCTCGAAAATGTCAAATATTTCAAATTTCAACAATTTTTAATGAGCTTGAGGCCGTTTTTAATGAAAAACGTATTACATTATCAAGTTTAAATAGCACTGGAACAGCTGCGCTTCATTGTAGTTGGCTTAACAAATGACATAGTGAAAAAAAGCAACAAGAATTCACAAGGCGAACTTAGCACAGTACGTAGGCAACTGGCTCAGTCAGTGGGATCGTCGGTTCGAACCCTACTGAAAGAAGTCTGATGAGGAAATGTGGTGATTTCCGAAATAGCTATCACTTCTGCCATTTTTTCAAATTATTGCTGTTTTTCATTAAAAACGGCCTCAAGCTCAATAAAAATTGTTTAATATAGATAACAAAAAAATCTAAATTGTTAAAATCTATAATCATGTGAAACCTTTTTCCATACAAAACAAGTGATTGAATAGCAGCTTTTGGAAAGTGCGCCCAACTCAGCAGCACAACCACTGATTACTGGACAAATTTATTAAGAAAGAAAGTTGCAACAATTTTTTTTTTCAATAAATTTTTTTTTTGTATATCGCATAGCACACTTTGATTTGGAAAAAAAATCAGAACAGTTTTTGATACTTTCGATACCAGAAGTAACAACAAAATACACGCAAATGTTGTTTTTGCTTTAATGCTCCTACCTGTTTGATATTCCTTGGATATAAGGCATTTTAGAATATAAAAGAAAACTATTATTTAAATTCTCTTTCTAAAAAATATTTATGCGGCCCTATTATTATTAAATTAACACTTTTTGGCCCAATGGGGCATTTCCGGCCCTGGTCATAACTATACAATTTTTGTTAGTTCTGATCTAAAACACTAATCAAATAATTTTGTCCAGCTAGCTTCTTCTAGTCGCCACACTGTGAGACAGACTGCTATTTAATGTTTTTTTTTTAATAATTTATTGATGGTTTTGCTGGCAAAGAGGTTTGATGGACATGCTACTTAAAGACCAATTCAATCCCATACAATTTATTTATTGTTACCCGCCTGTGTATGAAGCTCCCGGCAAGATCTAGATGTTAATACCTTTTATCATGAGAAAAGTGTGTTCATATTCAGAGGATTTTTTTTTTCAAGTGTTTAAAAATGTATCTGATAATAATTTAGCTACAGTTGTTATTCATGAAATAGCCACTTTGTGCTGTAGTGGCAAACCTCGAAGTGTATTTCTGCCGTGAAAAGCAGCTTCTCATAAAAATAAAATCGCCGTTCGGAGTCAGCGCACGCCACAAAATCCGAAGGAGAGGCTCGGCCAACCTGCGCAAATCTATTTGTTATTCACTAATTGGTAAAATTTTTATTAATGTTGTCTAATTTTACTACAGGAAAATTTTTAGGTTTTTAAATGGCACACAAAACAAAGCCGAAACACGTGCACTTAATTTTTAGTTGTAGAATACGAACCTGTATTTCCCAAAATATTTTCATTTTTATGAAAAAAAAATTAAGTTTGACAGGGAAAATTAAAAAAAACACACTTGCAATTTTTTTCTTTATTATAAAGCTTGTTCTTTTACTAAAAAAAAAACAACAAGCTATTAACGAAGAAAATCAGTGGATAAAAAAAGTTGTGAGTGGTCAAAGGAAAATGCGTCTCGATTTTTTGGAATGAAATATGAGCAGGAAAGAATGTTACTCATACGCCATGTACATGGCCATACTCGTACTTATGTGTGTACTCCTACATGGCGTATGAGTGAAATTTCCCATGTTAAAATTGGATTTTTTTGTCATTCATAATGCAAACCTCATAAACAAAATATCTTGGGGAAATTACATGATCTAAAAAAGATACGTAATCTACGACCAGAAATTAAGTTTACGCGTCTCGGCTTCTTTGTCTGTCATTTTAGCGTTCCTTCAGCGTTATTGATACATTTCTGTTCCTGAAATAATGAGAATTTAAGAAGGGTTTTTACTACCTCGCAGTTTTATGCCTGCAAGACCAGACTGTGGCTAAACTTTTACTGCATTTTACATAGTAAATAATGGAAATTCGCTGCTAATAAAACATAACCTGCATATATAAAACTTGTTTTCTAAAACAAGCACAAAAGAAACATAACCTTTTGCGTGTCAAGAAATCAATTTAACCGCCTGTCAGAGCCAACTAAGCTGTCTGTGCAAAAACTTTGCAGCCAGCAACATAAGCTTTTCAAAACTAAACTTAATTATGTGGCATAATGTTAAGCGACAGGCCAAACAGAACCAAACCGACGGACAATGCATGGCAGAACGAAGTCGATGAATGCAAGGCAAACGCCTAAGCGCCTGACATGGGTTTACAAAATGAACATATTAAAAGAGAAACAATAAAAAGAAGAAAGATAAATTCACTCGTTTGCACAACGGACGCAATGGTCCTTAGAAGTATACAACTGACAACAGTGTAGACTTTGTTCCCATGTGTAAAACACAGTAAATTTCTGCCACAACTGTTCACACAAAAGCGTATATGCAAAATATTTTGCAGCTACATACAATTTTCAGTATTTTATTCTTCCCCTTATTCGCTCCGCTTCAAGGTGCTGCTCGAATCATTTTCTCACATTCTTTAATTTGTTTTGCTAACCAACAAAGTAGGTTATGCACTCACAACATGACCGCCACAAATGTGCGGGAATTGGGCTTACGCTGAGAGGAGAGAAAACAAAAACACAAATTGTGATTACACACTTAAGGCTTTAAAGATGGTCATAAAATACGGCCAAGCTCTCGAAGGACATCATAATACACATGTAATGGCCCGCTCACCAGCATCTAGCCACACTGGAAAGTAGCGATTTCATGCTTTGGCAGCTCACGTTTGAGCTTGTGAAAATATGCCTTAGTACCTATGTATGTACCCTGCAGTGAAAAGCTGAACCAGTATGCACAAATTCCAGTTCATGAACTATTATTTAAGGACAAAAGTCATACCAGTCCGTTATGAACCATAATTATACCAGTTCCTCGTAGAAAAAAGTAAACTAGTTGGTAGAAATTCTAGTTCGAAAACTGGTATTAAATAGGGAAGTCATACCAGTTCGTCATAGACTATAATTATATCAGTTCCCGGAGTGAAATGCCAATATAAATACTAGTTCATTAACTAGTATGTGCTAAAGCGACGGCCTACCATTTCGGCGATTTCGAAAAACTTATGCGATCAGCGACATCTGTCTGAACACACAACCAAAACTAAAATGCGGTTAATTGCTTTCATCACGAATGTCGGCTGTGGCGTCGAGTGAAGACTACCGGATTCTGGTTCTGAGATCTCAGGTTCGAGTGCCCGTGTAAGTTGTTAAAGTAAGTAAATTAATTTAAATAACTGTGTCAATTTAAATAGAAAATAAAAATTGTACATAAATTTCATTTCATTTGGAAATAACCTAAGTACTCAAATACCATAAAAAAATGAAAATAAGACATAATTTTTTGTTCTTTTTAAAACAATAAATTTAAAAATTACAAGAGATATAAATAAAAAATAAATAAATAAATAAAAAATAAAATAAAAAAAAAGATTCGCTCATTGAGATTCGAACTCGGATCTCTTGATTTGACGTGCCAAACCTTTACTCTGTCGGCCATTGCCACTGTTGCAGCGCCACGAGCAAAATTACATACTTATGCTTTTCACGGGGGATGAATAGGGAGTCTATCCCGTCAACTGGTATGATGCTACTAGTTTTTCTACTGGTAGCGTGCTGATGCAGAAGCGGACAATTGACATCTCCTATGACACCGCCATGTTA